TGTGCCTTATTGGTACTCTTTTGCACATACCAGGAAAAACCAAGGATGGAATCACGCGAGACTAGACTTGGCTGAAATGGGAATAAGAGTACGGTTACATCCATACTACTAGACGCCTGACACATTGTCTAAAGTAGAGAAAACCAGCTTGTGTTGATGTTTGCATAACATCATGGTGCCACAAGGTTATTTTCTAATGTGAAAAGGCTTGTGTCAATGGATGATTTAAAGTTAGTTGGAATGAAGTCTCAAATTGTAATTACTTATCATTTATTACTTGCACGTTATAGGATGTACTTGAGGAGTAGAGCAGTTAAGGTTCTTTTACTCTAAGTGGAAAGATGGATATCCTGGCAGCTGCAACTAGGAAGTTAGACCATCCTGGTCAAGTGAGAGGGTTACCAAAGACAGTTGGTTTAACCCAATTCTTTGATTCTGGTTCACAAAGCTCTATAGGAAAAAGTGTCCCAAGTGCTGATCTAATGGACAAAATTCGAGAAAAAGTTCGCCAAGAGATTATGACAAATGATGAGGTTCGTCAATTCTTCAAAAATGAGTTTATGCTTGACATTCGGGAGGAGATACGACCTTTGGTCTCAAGCATGTAAATTGGCAGGGGCAATTTCAACAACAAGAATGTACACCTCAAGTATAAAATTAATCACAATTTAAATTAAATCATTTTCAATTTTGCCAACATTGTTTCTGTTTAATTTCATTCTTTCATTCCTACTATGTATTTAGAATTCTCCAGCCTATGGAGGCACAAAAGGGAGCTTCAATCCATAAGCACCGTCAACTCTATTTGATGCTAGTCCCACACCAAATGATGGAGAACCTTGTGTTCTCTATTTCGATGACCTAAATATGCGTGTTGTTGCTAATGCCATTAAATACACACAAGGGTCTAAAGTTCATCATTAAAAAATTCCAGCAAACTCAGTCAAGGTGATGGTTACGGCTGTTTGAGAGGAGGAGGTAGATGCAGACTTGTTGTTCCTCAGTGACGAGGTTGGCAAGCTCGGCGAAGCAAAATGATATTTTATTTTATGGCCTAAAAGACTCATTGACGTCATATCTCTCATGGTACAAAACACACTAGCATTTTCTGATTTCTCTTTCATATATTACTTATGTTACTTATCTTTATTCTATCTTTTCTATTAGGATATTGAAGATGCTACTCAATTTCCCTGTCTGGCATAACTGTATAACATTTATGAATCAGTTAACAAAGTCAATATACAAATGCATATTGGGATTGTGGGGGAGCAAAGAACATATCATTTTGGATTCGACCAGAAGGATCTCAAGGACTTTCTATCCATAGATCAGCTAGACATTGCAGGGATTCAATAAGCAATAATGTGATTCTATTTTATGATTTATATTTTCTAATTGCTCATGTTCAATTTATATGTATGAACTAATTTTTGTTTCATATCAAATTGATGATGATAGATACTTTCACAACTTGTGCACTTCTACAGGAAAAGGACATTTGTATGGATTCATGTGTCCAGCCGCTTTACAACCTTTGAAGAATAGTATTGATAAGTTGATGAGATACGTGGATAATACCATTGCAGACACTGGCTTCCTTTGTTATTTTGCTCCAATCATTGAAAAGTAAGTAGCTTATATCTATATTTGTAGATTTATATATTTAATTTTTAATGATACTGGTTTCCTTTCTTTTTATATTTCAGTAGACATTGATCATTGTGCATTCCTTGCCCCAGAGGTAATGTCATTTATTGGTTTAATTCATTAGGCTGTCCCCTAAGTGATGAAATGAAATGTGTCTTCACCACGTAAGTTTTGTCATCATATATTTAGTTTTTACACCTCATTAAGTTGTTCTAATATCTGGTCATTTCTATTTCGTCATAGGTCTTTCAAGCATATTTTATACAGGGTGGGAAGTGTGAGAGAAAAAGTGGCAAGACTGTTTGGCACAAACCAAAAGTAAGTGTTCTCATTTTCAATTATTATGTCACCAACTATATATATACGTATTCATCTTTACTACTCACTTTGATTTTACAGTGTCATCTACAACTAAGAAGTGCAGAGTGCAGATATTATATTATCTGTTTCATGTACGAAATTATTGAGTCCCAATGTATTAAAGATTTTGAGATGGTAATTAAACAATTATGATTATTTGCTTTTTTTATGGAATTGTTGTTTTTCTTTTTAATTCAGAATCTTGATGAATTCAATCTTCTTACTGCTTACAAATTTTTGATGATGACAGCAGCTACACTGATAGGGAGATTGATGCCATTTAAGATCGTTTGGCAGGACAATTTCTTCAAGAGTTTTATTCTCAAGATGATACATGATGTTAAAAGGGCTAGATGGTGCTGAAGTTTCCTTGTATCATAGTATAGGGTTATTTTGATAGTTGAAACATAGGTTAGAATGTTATTAGGATTGTGATTCTATATGGAATGGATTTGATTCTGCTGGATTACTATTATTTTGGTTAAATTCAGCTTGTACTCTCTGTTTTGGTGGATCATTTAGGTTTTCTATAAAGAAAACGGGTAATTTCGTATGCAAAATTTTTTTTTTTGCCTTAACATATTCGTCTGTTCATTTAGAACAGAGGAATATAGGCCATAAAATTCATCTGTTCAACTAGGAACAGACCAATATGATAGGAATATATTTGTCTTTTTACCAACAGATGAATATGGTGTATGAGAAACAGACGAATATGCATGCCACATATTTTTTTTTGTTCATGATGAACAGACAAATATGCATGCACCATATTCATCTGTTTTCAATTGACGCATATATAGCTTCTTTCTACGTCTCCTTTGTCCATGTCCCCCCCAAAACAAATGAAAAAGGGCTTCCAGAACAAACAAAAACAGCCCTTTTTTTTAGTAGTGGGTGTTTTTGCTAGAGGAGCTTGTTTTGCATTGATTTGATGATTCCAATGGGTTTAAAATGTGTTTTTGTGTAAGGATATACTATTGGGAAGTGTTTAAAATCATTGGAATCAAAAATGAAATTTTTTGGAAGATTATACACCCTATTCGGCCATTGTAATTTCATGGGAAAGAAGTTTGATTTTTAAAAATCTGATTGGATATTTGAATTCCTCATGAAAATTTGTGTAAGAATGAGTCATGAGATTATTGATTCTAAAGGAGGAATCATTTTGTTAAAAATCAAAGAAAAATAGGAAAAATGTTTGATTAAGGTTAAAGTTTTGTGTTGTGTTGTTTAATAGTTAATGTGGCCTATATTTATGCTTGATTTAATAGGCCTTGTGAGGAAGAGTCAAGAAGGATCATTGCCTCTTGAGGAGACCAAATTAATCAAGTGATAAAAGGTAGCATTGAATTATAATTTGATTGTTTATCTTACTTGTTTAATGTGATTACGTTGTTTGCTTGGATTGAGAAAATTGTATTGTGAACTTGGTTGATTGGATGACTTTGGGTTATGCTTTAGCCAAATGCATTGAATTATGTTATTGTGGAAGTATTAGTGTTCCTCTCCTAGCATGATGTTAATTATGATTTATGTGGTTTGATTATGCCTTGAGGTATGCTAACATATCATATTGTAACTTGCTTGATTTACATAATTATAGTTCAATTGCTACTGAGATTTCTATGAAATCTCATTCCTCCTATGTCAATTTATTTATCATCTAGGGAGCGGCTCATCCATGGATCGAGGCAAGGAATTAGTGCCCGGATGAAAGAACTTTATGAATTTTACTTTGTTTTGGAATGTTATGTAATGGTTTAACAAACTTTATGTTGAGTCTGTAATGGAATATGAATGATAACATGTTGTAAATTATATTTGTGTGACATGCCCAAGTGCTGAAATGTTGAATGGTGCAATGTTAAACGGATGTGCAAAGAGGAAAAAGGGAAATAAATTCAGAAAAATGGAAGTAAGGGACAAAAATGCCTAAATCAGGGGCAAAGTTGTGACACATAAAGTAATGAGCAAATGATAGAATCTAGACTTGAGATTTTGTAAACATTTAGATCTCATCTTTAGCTTTAAAAAGAGTGGTAAACCATTAAAATTGGAGTTTCGTATTGAGAGTTATACCCTTCTAAATTTGGGCTAAAATCCTAGAAATTCAAAAATTGACCATATGAATAGTGCACCTTGTTGAACTTTCTAGTGTTGTTTTGGATGGAATCAATATATATATAAATACTCTTCCACCAAAGTTAGCAGCTTATATGGCTTATTGATGGCTCTCCTCACAAAATACTGTTCACAAGCCTCTTGATTGTTATCTCGGGCTGCGTTTAAGTTGGCTTTTTGTTGTTCATGCATCTGACTAAGGAAAGTACATATCATGTAAGCAGATCAAAAGTTTAAAATTCAAATACTATTCAAGTCCCGCCTTATACATTGTTCTTTTCTTGAGTTCAAATTTGAGTATGAATCTCAACTCATCTGGGTTTCAATATGCTACTCAAACCCTCTCCGTTATCTCTTCTCTCAGCTTTTCCTCCAAAAATTTCTTCTTCCACTGCCTATTCTTCATTGATTCCTTTATCTTCTTTCTTCACAAGGTCCTTCCTCTTTCGCCAGGTGAGATGAAAAGAATGTATTATGCTACGTGCCTCATGGAGTATTTTCAACTTTGAATTGCTGATCTGCAGCCTCATATCTCTCATTCTAAGTTTCAATGTTCATATTTCCTCCCCTACATCACGCCTCAACTAGCCTTCCGTCATCAATTTCTCTTCTTCTCCACTCTCTCTTCATCAGTTTTTACTTCTTCTTCACGGTCTCCTTTACCTTCTTCCACTTCTAATCAAGGATTTCATGGTTTCTTGCAGGTCACAACAATGGGATGGGAGAGAAGAGAGGGAGAACTGCCGTTAAAAGAGCGGAGACGGATAGCCATTGGTTCCTTTTCCATTGTCTTTATGAGAAGCCAGTAGCCGTGGGGAGTTTGAGACAGATTTGTTTATGTTTGTCAAGGTTATCATTTTTACCTTCCAACCCTCTTCCTCATGATGATTCTCAAGATCTGATTCTTTTCATTTTTCTCAAAATTTTAATTAGACAGACTGTGGGCAGATCTCACTGTGTTTATGAACAGTCATCACAGGGGGATTTTCTACTTTTAACAGGAGGCTATTAAAGCTCTTCAATCGGTAAGCCGGCTTAGATCTATGGTTGCAATATTTTTCATTTGTTTCTCTCTCTTCTAGCCGAGTAAAATGTTGGCGGTGATTCGGTGAATAAGACTCAAGAGTAAAGTCTAAATGTGTTGGTTTGTGCAAGGGAAGAACAATGGGGGAAGAGTCCATTGCTCAACTAAGATACTTTGCTCAAGGATGAGGGTATTCATGATGTTTGATTCTTCACATTTCTATGACTTCGATTTTGTTGAAGATAAATATCTATGTTTGGTATTAGAAATTATTCCCATTGATTCTAAAGCTACTTCATTCTTGATGGTTCCATATATTAATTTCGTTGGGTTGGTTTGTCCGTATGATTTTAGCATGGTGAGGGTGTTCTGGAAAACTTAGTATGACTTATAGGGGATGTATTAGTATCATTTAACAGTAATTTGTCTATTTCCATGGGGTTTTAATAGAAACCTTTGATTGTTTTGGCCAAAAGAAAAAATAGAAACCTTTGATCTCTTTTATGGAGTTGAAGTTGTGGAGGTAAATACTTTCTTCCAAAATGTATTTTAATATGTACAATTTCTTTCCTTTTCATTTTATGTAGTTTTGAGTTTGTTTTTCTACTTGCTATAAGATGTATTTTAATAGGTAAGAAACTCAATGCTTTGACCACATTTCATAATATAAGATGTCATTGTTAAACTTGCTATTACTTTCCATCAATAATACGCTGATATCATGCAATAATACTTGGTATGTATGAAAAAGTGTTTATTTCCTTTTATTTCAAGATTTTGGAGAAAATTTTTTAAAAAATGATTGCAAAGTCTTTAACCATTTTACGGGTTTTTGGGTTCTAATGTAAACTTGTATGCAGTTTAATTGTGGATGTGACAATTGATAAAAGGCAGTTACCTTTTGACAAATCTTCTCAGGAAATTATTTATGTTTAAATGTAAGAATGCTCTCTTCTCTTCTTTTAGGGCTTGTGTCATGGTTTATGATTGGAATTTATGTTATTGGTGGTCAGGAAGGTGATTTTATGGCCAAACTTGGCCCACCTATCTTCAAGTGTTCATGCATACTAGAGGTAAGCCGTGGGCAAAACCCTCTGGTTTTTCCTCCCCATTTGATCTTATGGTGATAATTGGTAAACCCGGTGCATGCATTGGTTTGTTTTTTCTCTTCTCCAGAGAGAATGGATACGATACATGATTGACCTCCTTGTAATGTAATGTTTAACCATTATAAATTGCAATTAACCACATTTCCATCCATTCCCAAAGTTTGGCTCACTGATTCATTTTATACAGCAAGCTTAGGCGGTGAATACTGATTTTTACATGCTGGATGATGAGACAAAGTGGAAAGTGATGCCTCCCATGCCAAAACAGAACTCACACATTGAATTTGCTTGGATGCTTGTGAACAATCCTATAGTTATTGTTGGAGGCACAACAAAGAAGCATCCTATAACCAAAAAAATTGTTTGAAAAGGAGAAGCAATGCAGTTTAACTTGAATACTCTGGTATTGACTGCTCTCTTATAGAACACTTTGGAAATATATTTAGTGTCTGCGTATGTGTTAATATTTTGTTACGAATGTATATATTCCTTCATCTGTTTAGTGCTCATTTTAGTATTTTTTGGGTATCTTCATTTGGCACTAGGATCTAGCTTGCAAGGGGGAGACCAACATGCTCCATTGTCAACTTTTGTTTAAATAAACTAGGATGTACTTATTACAGTCCCTGTTTTGTTTAAATATAGTTTTAGGACACCTGTACTTTTTTTAAGTTTATATTCTGCGGGGAGAGATAGAAACCACAGACTCTAATTGCAAGTTAGAGAGCATCATACTCTGTTGTTAGTTTTTGTTTAATTGCATTGTTTTGTCAGTTTTGGCAGACTCAGTCAGTGATTGGGAAGTTAACTTACCGTGTGAAAAGCACTTTAGTTGGATTTTGGAATGGATGACTATACTTCACTTTCGGACAGCAAGACAAGGCGCCAGATGGTCCCTCTCCTAAAAAGGTCATTGGAGAAATATGGAGAATAAAGTTGAAATTGACTCTTGAGCATTTGTGATTGATTATCGAATCTTTTTTCACTTTTACTCTGGGTTTAACTTCTTTTCTATAATTACAGTGCTTTGGCCTCTGTAATTACTTTTCTGCCAGATATATAAATTATTCACCCTATTTTTATCTTTTCAAATTGCCCTCTTTGTCTCAAATTTAATTTCTCAATAATTAAAGAAAAAGAAAAACTAATTTCCTTCTTTTTAGTAATTTTTCCACTTTTCAAAGGAATTGGGAAAAATCTTGGATACTTGAGGGTCTTTTTTTAATTCCATATTATCTTATAATTTCTTGGGATATCATAGGAATTTTCTTGGGATTTTATCCTTCTTAAAAGTATTTATTTGGAATTTTCCAAATAAAAGACCTTAAACTAGCTTAAATCGCCCTTAAATTCCTTTGTAATTTCTCTAAGGGTAATTTGGTCATAAGACCAATTTTATAATCCCATATAATTCTCAAGGAACATTTTCATTATTTTTCTTAATTTTTTGAGGCTTGGAAATATTTTTCCATAATTATTCTTGACCAATTTTCCTTAATTAGTCAAACTTTTCATAGTTGGCTTGGGAAACTATAATAATTATTTTCCACCAAAATTCTTCTATTTCTCCTGGTCATTTTTTACCCTTAATTATTTAAGAACATTTCTTATTCCTAATTATCATAGTATTGGATGTGACATTTCTTCCCCCTAAATAAATTTCGTCCTCAAAATTTGAAGCGTATCTTATTAGAAAAGTTCTAGATACTTTTCCTTTATCTCAGTCTCCATCTCCCTCATAGCTTCTTTTAGTATAAGACCTTTCCAAACAACCTTGACTAGCGGAATCTGCCTGTTTCTCAGCTGTTCGACTTTCTGATCAATGATTCGTTTTAGTATGATGTCAAAGACGGATTGTCTTGGAGCACAATGTCATCATAACTTATGACATGTGCAGGTCTAGATGGTACTTCTTTCATTGGGAGACATGGAAGACATCATGAATTCGGCTTAAATTCAGGGAAAGGGTCACTTATAATCTATTGATCTAGCCTTGGACAAAATTTGAAATGATCCAACATACTTTGGACTTAACTTCTTAATCTTTAGGGATCAACTGACTTTCATTGTTGGTTACATTGTAATCACCAACCTCAATCTTTAATGGTCTCCTTTAATGTCTGAGTAGCTCTTTTGTCTACTTTGAGCCATTAGAAGTCTTTACTGGATAACTTTAATTTATTAGGAAGTCTGATCCACTAAATTAGGACCATACTTACTTCTTTCATTGAGCTCTATCCAGCACAAGGGAGATCTACACTTCCTCCTATAGAGTGCTTCATATGGTGCCATTCAGATACTTGCATGGAAATGGTTATCTTAACCGAATTCGGCTAACAGTAAGTACATATCCTAGTTACCGTCGAAGTCAAGCACATATGCGTGTAGCATATCTTCTAACATTTGTATCATTCTCTGTGTCTACCCATCCGTCTTAGGATGGTAGGTTGTATTGAATCTGAGAGTAGTGTCCATTTCTTTCATAGGGACCTCCAAAACTTCAAGTAAATCTCAAGTCTCAGTCCGAAACAATACTACTTAGGACACTCGGTAGCTTAACAGCTTCCTTAACTTTCATCTCCCATTTTCTATTAGATTTAGTGCATTCTTGCCAAAATGGCTAACATTTCTGGCTTTTGCACTTTCTCACATTTTTCCCAGGGTCACCCTTCCTTGGGCTACTCTTGCTTGAAACACTGAACTAAACAGTGCTAACGGGAAACTAAGGCACTGATTCTGATAGGCTCAACCCCAGTACTTTGCTGTCTTAGACCCTTTTCTTGATCTATCTTTAGTCGAGTCTTCACAACTTACATTCTTGTCTCTTAGCTCATCTTAAGGATTTACCCGTCAATACTTAGTTTGTCTCTGTATCACATGGGTTCTTCCTATATCTAGAGTTAGCCTAAATGTCTCTTTTTCAGGTCTTATGGCTCTAACTCCTCTAACTTTGGCTTTCTTCTGTTAATCGGAAGGAAATTGAATCCAGCCTAATTAATGATTTTTTGGAAGGAAGTCGTGGGTACTCTCTCGGTATTGGTTTACAACCGAAGGAGGTTTTTACATCCTCAACTCATCCATGGTCCTTATCTTCCCAAAGTAGTACCATACTCTTAAGATCTCTGGGAGACTTTTGACCATAGGACTAAGTATAGTCACCTCCTCTCAGTTGGTCACCTAACTAATAATTCCCCAAAACTGTTCCAAGAACCAATACCATTCTCTTAGACTTCATGTCAATTCCCTAGGCTACCTATTTGTCTCTTTAGGTGCCTAAGCTAATTTGTCTTAGAAGTTCTCTTATTCCTCTAGCTGCTCTTACTATTTCTTACTATTTTAGAATGTTATAGAGAGACGACTTGTAACTTCTCTTTCCTCTACTTTCCTTTTCAGTAGGAGCATACTCTAACATGCATAATGCCTGACATTTCAAATGTAAGGAGTGCAAGCTCTTAGTGGTTGATATGTCTGTAGTGTGCCAACCAGACATCTCATCCTTAAAAAAAGGGAGCCTCTCTTTCTGTTCGCAGTTGCTTTTAGAAGTCATAGGGAGAGGACTTTGAGATTCTTCTTCTTTCTACTTGCTCTAGTACTCTGCTAAGCTCAGATACATCTAAGCCCAGCTTCATTCTTGGCTAGTCATACTTCTATTGGGTAAGGTCAACTCTGCTTGCCTTGTCTCGGCTGCTTCCCTTTCCTGCTTGGATAGGGTACTTTGCTTCATCTTGAGCAACGTAAATTCTAATCTGGAGGACCAATTCCCACCCTCTCTAGGAAAACTCCTAGCCAAGACCTTATCCCCTAAAAAAGGGTGCCTCTCAACCTAAACCCTAAGCGACTAAGTGTCTTTCAACATTAAGGGGAACATACCAACCTCTAAGCTAGTCCCCTGTATAGCTATCTGTCTCGTCCTCTTCTTCTTGATCCTTAAGACATTTCACTAGGGCTCTCCATCTTAACTTCACTATCTCAACATCCCTATTCATCTATTCTAGGACTTGAGATAGCTACTTTATTATGGTGCCTTAGCCCTAACGAGGCTGTAAGAGTTTGTCTAGCTTAGGTTGCCACTTACACCTTCATAATGGTGTAAAGACTTAACCCCTAACTGTCTTATTTAACTCCTTATCATTACTTTTCTTTTTTAGGGGGAATCTAGTAACTTTAAATAGTGACTACTACTCTCTTCCTGACTTCTATTTATCTTACTCTCTGCTACCTCTAAAAGTCCTTATGTCTTGTTGGGATACCACCTCAACATCTGAAAGTTATTGTGTTTATCCGTCATGACCAGAATCCTTGTTTGTAGTGATGGAAGTTACCACCTCATTTGGTAATCACTTTGTATTCGTCCATCGCCACTAATTCCCTTGGTTTATTATGACAAAACACACTTTTCTCTTAACCTCTGCTAGTCTCATGTAGCTTCATTCATCGTACCATTGCCTGTCTGGGCATCCGTTACGAAGTTTAACTTAACTTCTGATTTAACTCCATTTCTCTTGAGGGTAGGATCAGGGTCTTATCCTTACTGTTATGAGACGACAACCAATTTAATCCAATTACCCCACCAACTTCATGGAAGGCATATATATCAAGTCTAAGGCAATATAACAGTGCTCATAACCAACTATACAGTTTAAGCACACATCGGATGCAATTATCCTATTATGTGTTGGTGTGGACACATGTATCTCATAAGGCAATGTATTCATAATCAAGCCAAGTCTTTTAGCTCAGGCATACAAAATAAAAGAATGACTAGCACCCTAATTAAACATTACAATCACTGGGAAGTTGTTAGGAATGATCGTTCCTTGGATCATTTCCAAAGACTTACAGGCTTTTTTCCCTGTGATGATAAATACTCGTCCTTGGGTGAGTGACCTTGGCTTCTCTGTATTCTCTGGGCATTCTCTCGAGAAGTGTCTGGGCTTACCATAACTGTAGCAGACATTCTATCTGGCCATACATGGTCTATCACCGTGACTCTTATCACAAGTTGGGCATTCCTCGCCATTTGAGGGCTTGTCTTCCTTCTTACTCTTTTAGTTGTCCCATGGCCTCTTTCTCTTCCTGTTGGCATTGGTAAAGGTGCTACCCTGATTTCCCTTCTCTGACTAGGTGTAGACTTAACCATCAGATGATGGTTCAAGCTATTCTCCATAATTCGGCAAGCCTCAATGTTGAAGTGCTCGAACTACCTAGGAGCAATCATCTCCCTTAAAGACTGCTTTAGTCCTCTGACCATCTTTTTGGTCATCCACGTCTCATCCTCTCAGTAATGTAGGTAACTGGAGTAGTGGGAGAGACAGATAAACTTAGCTTAATACTTATCAAA